AGAAGATGTTTAAAAGGAAGCTGCATGTTTCTAAAAGATGCTAAGAGACGGCTGTGGTTCGCTCAGTCAGTGAAGGAGCGAGGGAGAGCTAAAGAATACGGCATTGTTGATCTGTTTTATTATTCTGAGCTCTCAACGCGTCACTGTGAAATGCTGGCAATCTTTTGGAAATGTCAGAGCTGCGTTCTCAAGAATACACACAATCATGGCTGTTGTTTTGTTAATGCGTGCCACGCTAACCTAGCTAGCTGCTAATATATGTTGACAAAGACAATTTATTACTTGTTACTGATTACTTGCTTAGGTATTAACTGTAGGACAAAAGATTTAATATTTATTTTAACTGTATTTTTTGTTTGTCTTTCTCGAGTGTTTAAGTCAACAATGTCTTCCAATAATCACATAAATATCTAGTCATATTTTCAAGCTTCCTGTCAACTTTGAATTGTTCATGTTTTCCACTAAAAAGAAAACGAACCCTCCAAACAGCCGGGTGACGTATATTCCAATATCACCGCCGTCATTTGCAAGGTGGAAATATATGTAAATAAGGAAACAACAAAAACAACCGCCAAAGTTAGTCGCATATTATAACTGCTCTTCAGCGCCATCACTGCGCTTGAATCGCATCCACTGAGGTAAATCCGGCTTTAAAATCTTGTTTCTGAAGCGATGATCGAGAAGAGTGCAAGGAAAGTTCCCTTTTAAGTTAATCAACCTTTCCGTCTCCAGCACGTTGAATGGCATTTAGACAAACTGCCACTTATTCAACAGGTAAACGTTTCTCTTCTATAGCAAAATAAAGTACCTGAAGTTTGACGAAGCAAGTTCTCAGAGAAGTCCTGACTTCAGCTCACATTGGAAAAATGACTTTTAACAAGTACGGCATCTGGCATCCATGTGGCTCAGAGCAAATACTGAGACACACACACACACACACACACGCAGACAGGCATACCTCAAGCTGCCAGCGCTGCCAGACATGTTTGAACAGAGTCAGCAGTCGCTCCCTTCCCTCCCCGCCCAGCATTCAGGCTTGGACTCAGCATGAGTAACCTCACAAAACTAGCAGTCGCAGTGCAACACACCACAGAAACATCAACCCAGCCATTACGTATGCTAGAAATAGTGCGAGCGCCCTCAAAGAAGGGGGTAAGGAGAGAAAAAAATGAGCAGCAATTACAGCAAACCTCAGCCAAATGCTGTGTGTGTTTTGTTTTTTTTAAAGATTTAGTTGAAAACTTTCTGTTGCGGCTAGATAAAAAACACAGTTGGAGCAGGTGAACTAATCTGTTTCCTGTCGGCAGCTTTTGTCTCCCTTTGTTTAAGCCGTCACACCTGAGGAGTGACAGGAAGTTTGCGAAACAGCTGTGAAAATCGGGAAGGAGGACATCCACACGCATCTGCAGTAATTCAGCGTTGAATCGCATATGAAGATTACCCCGATTTAAAAAAAAAAAAAGTAAAATGCAAAGCCAACTCGGTGTCCGGTGTTTGACCTACATGTGGAAGCGTCTCTCAGGAACACATAATCCTGCAACCAATCCTGCTGAAGCAAACAAAATATCCTGAAGGAAACCCTAAGAGCCGCGGTGAGAAGCATGTGAATCTAGCTGATAACATCCTCAAGAGAACGCCTGCAGGTTGAATCCCTTTGGTCCACTTCCTTGAAAACACTTCACCCCGAGTCGCCCAACAAGCAAGACGGGAAAAAACAAGGACAGAAGGAGACAAATGCAGGAAGAGCCGACCCAATTCCCCCCCTTCGTCTCCTTGGGGAAACCTGCGGCGGTGATGCGAGGAGCCACAATTTAGCATCTCTGCAGTTAAAGTACGGACATACAACTCCAAGGTTTGCACACTCAGAGCGTAAGCAGCCGTAAAAGATAGTCAAAACACATTAAGGATGGTGTATTTATATGATTCAGGTCATAAACCTTCCTGACATACAAGGTGTGAATACTAAAGCAGCAACAAGGACCGAGCCCAGAGCACCCCGGATAGCTTACACCAAGAGAATGTGCACACCCTCACTCTCTAGACCGGTGGAAGATAAGACGCGCAGTCGCATAATAACAGATAGAGTTTCTCATACCTCAGTACAAACTGTAATCTTGTTCTTTCCCATGGAGCTGTCGTGTTATTTTAATTTAATCGGTCACCTTGTCTTGACACTCCAAATACAGTCCATCCTTCATTTAATCTTCCAGTGACGAAGCTAAAGGAACACTCCGAGGTAAAGTCAGAAAGTACTACTTTTCAATCGAGTTCGATTAATAAAAAAGAAAACTCCCAGTTTAAGAATAAAAGATCTACACGCTGTTGCTGCACCACTCTGGACAGATGGTTAAAAAGAAAAGGTGCTACACTTTTAAATCACTGCGGAGTAAAACTTACTCCTCCGAGCACAAACGCTTCAGGTTTTGTGAAAAATGTAGGTCTGAATCTGACAGGAAACGAAAAAATGACAAGATTATTATGTTGTTTTTTTTCTTACATTTTATTTCTTTGCACCTCTGATATTTACAGATGGTAAAACATGGAGAGTTTTGGTGTGAAAACTAGCTCAGCACCACCAAGCTAGCGCCGCTTGTGTTCATCCACAGAGACTAGAATAGCAGAATGTTATGCTGTGGAATAAACACCTGGAAAACAACTACTGGAAGATTTAGGAAGTTCCTCTTCTATTTTATATCAATAATTTCCTCTCTCTGCCAGTAACTTTGAAGATTTGGTTGTTTGGTACCCGATTTCGGTCGATGATGCTGGTTTATTCAGGGTCAAGACAAAGGACCAACCAGCCAAAAAAAATGGGATCAGAACCAAAATAAATGGAAATAAGATGTAGTAGATTTCGGAAAAGCAAAGATCACATCCAGAAGTTACAAAAACGATGCTGCAAAGACTCCGGAAAACATTAGTGACAATGGCAGAGAGAGGGTCTGCCTTGTGTAATTACGGACCATCCCACTGACATTCCAACGGACTCATCTGAATGACTCAGGACACATACACACACACCAGGAATTTTTGGTTTTTGTTCACACACACACACACACTTCCTAAGTGCTTCCTGCCCGGTTCTTCCTGCGCAGGCGACACCTGCTCCATCACTTCCCTTCCAAATTAGCCGTTTTCTTTTAAACAAAAAGTAACAGAGCCGAGAGAGCGACTTGTATTTCCTTCCCTCTCTGGAGCGGAGCCCTGGATGACTAGTTTGTAGAACGTCAGTGGGTCAAAGGCGGGTGATTAACCTGGAACTGGATGTGCTTCAAGACCTAAACAGTGGGGGAATCCCCCGGGTTGAACGATGAATGTACAACAAGCCAAAAAAAAATAAAAATAAAAAATAAACCTGTTTGAGAAACAAAGGTAAACTGTTTTCTTGGGGGGTGGTTTCCACACGCTATTCGTGCGTTGCGTAATAATAGCGTTAGTGTCATTAGTGACTTGGCAAACGACAAAGTGAGCTAAAACAACCAGCCAGAGGATATGAGTTTGACTGTCGTGGTGAAACGCTCGAGCCGACACACGCTCCGACGTCTAACTCGAAACAATGCATACCAGACTTGATGAACCCGAACCGTGTTTACAGCTTTAAATAAACTACAGACCGAGAAGGAGAAAATAAGCCTGTTTGCTCTGCACCGCTTTCTGGTCTAATATTAAACAGAAGTGGAGGGGGCATTTTTAACATTCCCGAGTGGAGAAATCAAATTACCACTAAAACTAACAAACTAGAGTTTGTGAGATCATAATAACTACACGAGGCTAACGTTTTTACTCTTTCTAAGCTCTGAAAGCTACGTCTGAGTGTGTGGTAATTACACATGTGTAACCCCAATGAGACGACTTCCCTTCACTGTATAATAAAGATGGATTAAGGGACTAACTAAGTGACATATTCACACCCTACGGAGGATGCTGAGTTGTTTTATGGATAACTTTAATTCCAGAAGAGTAGAAGCTTGAGCTAAAGTAAATATTTTGGACCAGTTAACCTACTTTGGAGAGACGATTTCTGCTCCATAACAACACTGAAACATAACATTCAAAGTGAGTGGACAACAACATCTCAACCAGCATTGCTGCCAGTAAGCAACAAAAAAAGTCTAGATTGTTCCCTACCAAATCTTGTAACGCCCAAATTACCAAAAAAAATATTAAAGATGCTATCCACTTCCATATTTTCTGTCTGCTGACAATAAACAAAGTCCCGGCTTCTACTGTAGAGTTTTTCCAAAATACAAAGTTTATTTAAAGTAATGTGCAGACGGGACGGAAAAAAAGACTAATTCTGCTATATTTGTCTTGTATTTGGGTCGATGACATCACAAGAGGCACAGGAATTTAATTAGTAAACACTAAGGCAGAGGAGTGAGTTTTTGCAGATTTTTTTTAAGGCAGATTCATGAAACTCTTGAGCTGCAAGACATTCAACATTCTTGGTCAGAGCCACACCAATAACCCCCAAGACCCGATGAAGACAAATGTCGACAACAAGAATGATTAAAATTAATTCTACTAAAATTAGATGGGTTTTTTGGATCACCTTGAATAGTTTTTTGCAGTATCTACTGTGTCATGGCATGCTGTCTGAGCTCATACTTTTTTTCGCTTGCTTTGCTTTCCTCTTGTGTGGACTGGAAGAGCCAATAAGAAAAAAAAAAACACATATGGTATAGCCAAAAACTCTAATAAATTGCCTTAAGTGATGTCACCAGAGGTGTGTGCGCACCAAAGCCACATTTTAGAAGGGAAGGTTTTGTCATTGGATAGAAATGGTAAAACTATCAGAAAAATGGCTATTGGCATATTTAATAAGCTTAAGTATACCTGAAGTTAATATGGTTCGTGTTATGGAAGAGTCTGTTTAGTAACTTTAACCACACAGAGGACAGCTGAGTGTATAAAAAAAAAGACTGCTGCGGCAGTAAAAGTCTGAACATATAAAGACGGATAAATGCTTAAAAGTATGAAGAAAGCGAAACAAAACTCACCTTTACACGGCAAAAACACGTTATTCCTTTCAAAACGGTATATCCAAACACTTCTCTTGAAAGCGAAAAAAAGGATGAAATCCCACAGTTTGGAAAAGTCTGCTGGTAGTTTGGGAAAAGCGTCGTCGTTCCTCCGCCTCCGCTGTAGCCGCTGTGTCCCAGCCAGCAGCCCTGCATAGGAATACATGTGCGGTGAGAGGGAGCGGGAAAAGGAGGGGAGCGGAGGGGAAGATGGAGGCTCTTTGTTTGCTTCAAGCTAACATTACAGCAACGTCTTACATCAACCGAGGCACTAAATTTACTAAAAATACTTTCAGTAGTATAATTAGAATCTAAATTACATTCCACACGTCGAACATCGCCTCTGTTTCGGCGGGACTCCCCCCCCTCTGAGAGCATCCCGACTTGGTATCTCCCACGGCTGCCTCTCATTCCGTTCCTCCCAACTGTGCAGGACTGGAGCCCCGCTGCAGTAAATTTGGAAATGTTGGTCGGAAGAAGTGGTAACAGCGATGACTGCGTGTATTAAAAGAGCTCTAAGAACAGTTTTAAAATGTAGGACGCTTTATTTTTACGCCATTATGCCAAATGAGTCAGCTGGCTGTATGTCTTTCACCAACGACACGTAGAAACAGAGCGACACAGTCATTATAAACAGACATTACATATGGAATAATAAAACTTAGCCATTTAACAACACGGCTAAATAATTTTGATAGTACTTAAAACCCCTTTTCTCCCACCCCTATGGTAATAATGTTAATATTTAATTAATTAAAATGATTGCTAGGGTTGTTGAATCATAAACTTCAGATCAATCAATCCACTTATTTGTATAGCATATTTCAGCAGAAAGGCGATTCAAGGTGCTTCACATAAAAAAATACGCAAAATTACAAAGCTATAAAGAAAATACCATGCAATCAACAGCTGAGCAAACATTTGATGAGTGAAATCATTCACATCAAATATGTGGGTCAGTGTTTCACTCATGTCAGATACCAACTTCAACAACTTTAGCCACCCACTGAAAACACCAACGACTTCTTAAAGTACTTTTACTGTGTACGCATTCTAATTATTATTTTTTTGCCTCGGGGTCCCCACTCCCTATTGTCGCCCTGAGCGGAAAGCCGCATCACCCATATTAAAAAGCTATAGGTTAGCTCAGCAGTAAATTCAATTCACAAGAGTGTTTTGGGGTTTTTTGTAACTCAGCAGCTCTTTTGTGAATGCCTTGTAGGTCTGTACATTAATTAATAGATACTTATAGATATATATAAAGAGCCTTTGATGGAACAACTTTGATTCTGCGTTCAATAAATTTGATGTTTATGGAAGAGTAGCATGAAAGAAGCCATACAAAATCTGTAGTTTGCCACAAAACATCTAAGAAATTCCATCAACGTGGAAGAAGGTGCTCAATTCTAAGACTAAAATGTAAACGTCTTGTCTTTATAAGTTGGTCAGAGCTAAATGGAAGATGACGAGAGTAGAATGCAGAGCAATGTTAAGATATAACCTCTTCAGAGGCTGAACAAGACGTGAGCAGAGGTTTCTCTTCCAGCGGGTCAGTGATACTAAACATGCATCCAGAACCGCAATGAAATGGACATACAGCATCAGAATAATTACCAACTCCTTTCTAATGTACACCCCATAAATTCTTCCTCATCTCTGTTATGTAACAACAAATAAACAGGCTACGTGGTATTAGTCCATCTCAAAATACATTGACGTTTGTGGCAACAGTTCAACAAAATATGCAAAAGCACCACAGGTGTAAATACTTTTGCAAGGCGCTGCTTACTGCGTTCATCTGCTTTCTAAAATGGACCATCCTCTGCCCACCCGCGTGATGTCAGACAGAGGGGAGAGCCGTGACACCGTGACCCCTAATTAGTGCTCAGGGGCCCCAGCTTCTGTTCCAAACTGCTTGTCAGAGAGAGAAATGACTCCGCACATGAAAAGGGACAAGGAAGTACGCCTGGTCCTCCACCTCCACCCGCCTCCCCACTCAGACAGCACAGAGCTTTGAACTTACATCAGAAAAAGCACCTGTGGACAACAAAGCTACCAAGAGACTATGATCTCCAAAAAAGAAAAAAGAGAGAGAGCAAAAGAGAGAAAGAAAGACAAAAAAATCACAAATCCCTGGATCAGACACTTGACTGATCAGGTTACTGTAATTTTCAGGGCTGACATGTGATATTGAATGTGATACTGTGCAAGAGATTTTCAGACGTGATTTCGCTTCTACAACTTTTCTCTTCTTCTTCATCTCCTCTCTGCCTCTCCCTACTCTCTAAATGCATAACCGCCGGAGCAAACGCGACACACCTGACCTATTTCACAGCTTACAGGCCCCTCCACCACCCTCCCTGAACTAGCTTCCTCCTAGCTCTTGTCTGCAGAATTTGCCGTCTTGATTTGATTAGCCGTCTCTGGCCGGGCTTGAAGTGCAGCGGGGAGCACGATGGGCTTTTTGTTGCCCCGGTATCTGGCTAATTGAAACAACTCCCTCTGCGTTTCCCTCTCCCCAGGGGAAGATGAGTGCCTCCCCCCCCCCGACCCTCTACAGCAGACTTCAGGAAGCAGAGGGAGTCCTCGCCATCTGCCCTTCCTTCGCTTGGCTTAATATGACACATGCAGCTCCATAGCGAGGATAAAGAGGGAAGCGGAGACTTTAATGCTTCGCCACTGCAAATCTCATAAAGACTGAGTGCATGTCACTTTGAGCGCAGCAGTTTGCTCCCATGTTCTTGCAAAAGAGTATTCAACCTTCTTGAATCAACTCAAAGTAACAGCGTTTACTTGAGTAGCTTTTTATGGGGTGAGGGGAATGTACTTTTAGGAATAATTTTTATGTAGTAGCTACTTGACGACATAGTAGCTACTCTTACTCAAGTACAATTTTTTGCTACTCTACCCACCTCTGCTTCTGGCAAACTGGAAACATGATTTCTCTTTGCCTTTTTAGAGTTTTTGAGAGCTTTGGAGCGAAGGATACCCAATACAAGCAAGGTTTTTTTTTTTCTTTCCAGTTTGTATTTGTATTAAAAACATAAAATCATTTATCATTTTTCTTTCATTTCACTTTAACTATGTTACATTTGTCCGTCACGGCCTGGTGACTGTTGTCTTCTCCCTCTCTCATTACCCTACTTTCCTGTCCTACCCCTACAGCCAAAACACCTTTAAAAAATGTATATATATTTATTCAGCTGTGTAGCCATAATGTGGAAAAAGGGGGTGAATACTTTTGAAAAAAAAATAGTGGTTTTTGTTCTTTGTCAAATCACCAGCTAAAAGTTATGTAAGCATACATACCTGATTTTTTATAACCTATCCTGTAGGAAAGTACAAATCTAAGCTCATGTTTACTTTAGGCATGGATATATTCTCTAACAATGAGGCAGATGGTCTAGTCAGGTGCATGAGATCATCGATTCAGTTTTGCCAGCCCTCAGGGAAATATCGTGAAATTGGAGGCTGGCTATCTACTCAGAGCCTGTTACGAGGAGCCAGAGGCTGAAGGCGCACTCTGATGTGCCATCATTTTACTACGAGGTAATACTGAAACGCCATTTGAAGTTTAAAGAATGGACTTCCTGTAGGATCTCAGGGACGGAGTGGCTATAAATGTGAACTTCTCATCGAGTCAATCAAGAAGAAGCAGAAGCACGGCGAGTTTTTTTTTTTCTTTCTTTTTTTTCTCAGTGTGACGGCGTTAATTTAAAATCATCTCCTCTGGATGCTGTCTGGCAATCTATTAGTAAATTCCTGGCTTGGCTCCAGAATCGGCTTTGTGCGGCAGAGACAATCGAGTGGAGATTAAGACTGGCTAATTTATTGACCAAACATGGCGCACACCCAAAAGCTTCTAATGAACTTTTTCGCATCTTTTGTCAGAGAATGCAGCGATGCGACGGGCCGCCCTCTGAGACAGACGTTGCTGTTTCACAGAAACAAAAGGAGTCATCCGATTTGCTGCTGAACTATTCCAGCCTTCTGCACAGTCAGGAACTTGTTTCCGAGCGCACACTTCTCACTAGAGATGACGCAGCGCTGGAAGCACGATGAGAGAGAGAGAGAGGGACAATGTAAACAGAGAGGGAAAAGAGAGAGCGAGAAAGAGAGAGAGAGAGTAATGGAGGAGTGAAGTCACCAGATGGTACAGTGAAAAGAATAAACAATGGTAACAATGAACTGGTTTCATTCAGTGAGCTTCTACTGCAACACGACATGCACCTCTGGAGTCGGCAGGGCAGGAAATCGTTTTTAAAAACCTCAAAAGTAGTTTTCATTCAAACAAATATTGTCTGAAATACAAGTGTTCATACCTAAACTTTCTGATGGTTTGTTTTGTATTTTACTCAGTCTTTTTGTGATAGAACAACACAATGAATCACATAAATTGGAAGCGGAAGGGAAAATATGACTTATTTCCAAAATGTCTTGAAAAATCTACAGCTGAATACTTTGCAGAATCAAAACCAGCATCTATACAAGCTTCATTTTTGAGTTTTGCTATTTTCCATTGTCTGGGTCGCTCTCAGTGTCCAAGTTTATTAAACTCTAGTGGGCCACAATTTTATTTTATTTATTCATTTATTTTTGATAAAAACACAAAATTAAATTAATTGCGATACGTTTCACTTTGAACACCCCTGATGTAAAACATCGCTCTCTCACTCTTCCTCTATGGTCTTGTGGCTTTCTTCTTCCACAAATATTAGATTTATGGCGTCCAAAACTAATAGTCCTTCTTTTTTGTTGCTAGTTTATTGTGTTTTGTTTCAGGTAAAGCACTTTGAATTGCCTTATTAAAAAAAAAAAAAAACTATACAAATAAACTTGACTTGTTCAATTCTTCTATAATATTTTCTTATAAATGTCCAATCACAGAACAGGATTCATGCATGTATTGAATTAAACACAGAGAGGGGCTTTATTTTATTTTATTTAGGGGATTTCTGACAACAGGTGTTATTTTGGGCTATGTAAAGTAGGAAGTTAAAATTACAAATCTAGGCGACAATTTTTATATTCTTATTTGTAAGAGCTTTTTGAAACTCACTACTTTGTGTTGATGTTTACATAAAATCCTTATAAAATCCGCAAAGGCGTTCAAGAGGTGTGAACTTACAGGAGACTCTACGACTGTTTTGAACAAATGTTGACAAATGACACCAATGAACAGGTGATCTAACAATCTGTGCTACCCATGAACCTGTCCTACCTTGTGGTACATTGATGCTACATCATTGATGTGCGCGTCAATTACATAAGAATCTCAGCAGATTTCTTATCCATACGGGTAGGATATTCTGATGAAGGAAGTGATATTTTTGTGGTTTTGTCGTGTTTATAAATCGCACCAATGCTAAGCTAAGCATAACTCCTAAGTCCCGTCACTAAAAGAATGTCATCAAATGATAATATTTAACATTAACACAACGCTCTGTAGCTTTTGGTTTGTAAAAATGACAGTAGAAGCTTCAGACTCGTAGCACCGACAGATAGACGTAGCTATCTGTGCTACAGTAGGAAAATCTGACAAGGTAAGAACAACTGTTAATTTCATAGTTACTCATCACAGGTTTTGCATATAACTCT